TTTGCAAGCGTTCCATTAATTTTACTAGCTACAGTTAGATTATAAAGAGTCTAGAATGTAAAAGGACACTGTCAAGGTTGGGTTGATGCTTTAGATTTCGACAGTGTCGCTATTCCCAGCTCATCTGAATCAGCTCAGCTTTTTTTTTATCTGTGGATGAACCGAAGCTGTGATGCTCAAATACGCATTTTGAACTCTGAGGAACGAGGTTGCTCTGGGTTGGAGTGGTTCTTCATACCAGCACATGAGGAGTCAGACAGGTGCTGATTCAGAATCCAGCTCCTCTTAACTCTGACTGAGTGCAGGGACTTAAGATCCAAAGAGTTGGTTCATATCTATCTGTACTTTTGTACATTTTTGTTAATAAGTATCTGTACAGACAGAGGAGACTATTGGTAAAAAAAATAAATTGATAAATTGTGAGCACCAAAAGAGCATTAAATATTTTTTTTAAGTACAAAACAAAATTGTGTCTTGAAGGAAGCAATTTTCAAACTCTGAAACGGTAATCGTAAGCAGCAGCTAGTAAAGTTCTTTGTTAAGAGAAAAATAAAAACCTTGGCAATGTCTTTTTAAATTGGGAATGATGGCAGCAGATTAGATGCAAGTCTGTAGTGATAAGAAAACATAAAAATTGTCAAGAATCTTAACCAGAAGTATTCTTTGCAATCTGGAGTTACCGTGCGTTTTTAATTATATGCATTTAAGGACTATAGCTCTGTTTACAAAGCAAAAAGGAATCTTGAGAGGGATGCAATAACATTAATTCAAATGCTAATGCAGATTGAAGTAACAGAACATTTCTCTGGCTTTCCCTGTAGTAAAATAACCATCCATTTGGTTGAAAAGCTTACAATTTTCTGCATTGTGGATACATTGCCTCATGCAGCCTCAATAAATCTGTATTTTATTCTGGATTTACTTAAGTAAGATTTGATACATGACTTGCAGTTTTATTTTGAATCCGTTCCTTAGGCTTAAGTAAAATATTGCTTGAACGCTACAGAAGGCAGAGCATTTCTCTGAAACGAAATCCCTTCTTGTGGTACAAGCTCTGAACCTGTTCCTTTGAGCACAGTGTATACAAAAAGAGGTATATGCAGTGTTTTCAATGTGAGCCAAAGCTACCAGTAACTTCCCTGTGATTGAACTCAACTATTTCTGGATGCGTCTGTAGCCCATGTGTGCTCTGTGCATTAGTCCTCATCAGGGATGTTGGAGAATGCACTCTGATTTTTAACGTTCGATGCTAGAATGACCAAACTAAAATAATATTCATGTGGTAATCTAAACTTCCTGGAAAAAAAAAAATAATAATAAAAAAATAGAACTGCATTACCATATACAGTGGAAAGCTATTTATTGTACCTCTGGGCTTATTCCTCTAAAAACCGTAGCGTACGAAGTCTTTGTCAAGCCTGACCTGATTGTATATAACTGAAATAATGTAAAGTTATATTTTCATGTTTTTATAATTAACCACATGATGGGAATACATACTGTAAGAATCTTTCAATGACAGATAATATGGGTTGGGTAATACACAGCTCGGTTAAAAAGCAGTAATCATAGTTTAATATCCATGTTACAGTACATCAGTATATTGCTATATAAAGTATGTCTGTGTGCATTTAAGTGAAAAGTAGTCCAGAGTGATGAAAGCTGTCCAAGGGTTTTTTATTCATTTTATATGAGAACTGTTATGGAGCAACCAAAATGTTTATGAATTCAATTTACTTGTGTAAATTTGGAAATGTCTTTACTGTAGCTTTTTGTTTACAGTACAGTATCTTATTTTCTGCTTTGTTAAATGAGTAACAGTACAAAGCCGGACATACACTTTCTAAGACATGAACGTTCCTGTTTTTTCATGTATACCTATCTGACAGAAAATGCTTCTGATTTTATTTTTCAATCTGACACATGATGGCTTTTCTGGAGTGTTGTACAAACTTCGATCATACATAAAAAAAAATCTTCTTAAAAAAGGCAAAAGACTTTTTATGTCTGTTTAGTATTCTTGAAATTTGGTTAATTATTTATCACAAATGTATTTCCTCGAGGTTTTACATATGGCAAACCTATTTTTCTCCACATACACGAGTTTTCTTGATGTGTTTGCAAAGAGAAGACACATCTTCCCCCGGATCATCCTGTCAGTCATGGGTTCACATCACTAAATTGAGAAATGTACGTTTCTTGCCAGTAATATAATTCTATTTCTGGAATGTAACCTTCTTGGTCATACTTACGATGTCAGTGCGATAGGTTGACATGCTAGTAAGTTAAATAGTTATTCAAGAGCTCTACTTAAATATTGTCAGCTATTCCTTGGATCAGTAACTTCTCACTTCCACTGATTGTAGTCTAAGCTGAGCGCTGAGAAACGGCAAGTATTTCAGTTATACTTTAGTAGTATTGCTGCCATAAGTCCAGATCTGTGGGAAGTTGGCTCTCACAGCAAAGAAACAGACTCAGAAGACTTGTGATGTGGAAGGCTCAACTGTTTTTAATGTCTTGCACAGTTTAACTGCGTTACGTCTGGGAGTATCGGCCTCTTCTTTGGCTGATAGATTTGAACAGCAGTGCACAGATCAATGATTTGAAAATACAAACATGATTTCCTCTGTCTTTTGGTACAGCTAGTTATTTGAAAATAGTTTTCACCAGCAAAATAGTCATCAGCAGCTATTCCAGGCGACACCTGTAGGGGCCAATTAGACCTGTTTCACACTGTGTTCTCATTGATTATTAAATTGTTTCATTTCTGTCCTGTTGGACTTTAAAAATTTGTTGAGAAAGACTTATCATGACCGAATTATTTGGGGAAATTATATCCAGCACTTAGGATAAAAATTCAGAGTGTGACTTAAGCATGTACTTAACTTTAAGCATTTTCTTCAGTATCTGTTTTTTATACCTTCTTAGAAGCTAAGAAAGGAGGCTACTGCATGCCCATGTATGCAGTAATAGAATCAGAGAATTGTACGAAACAGTGGCACTTACATGACAAATTTTATTCAGTACTGTGGGTTTTCCTGAAGTTTCAGTCTGGCTACTCCTAATCCTCTCAACTTTGGACTGTGTAAAATTCCATAGTAAAATTACCCTACATTTTTTTTCTTTCTTTCTGCCTTGAATGTCATTTTTCCTCTCGCCTTGAAGGCATAGAATCAAAAAATTTGTCTACATCTAATATCTGGGGGTATGCAGGACCTTGGAGTGATGACAGAGATTCTCAATTCCTGTGGACATTGAGTTGGTTTGAAGGCAAGTATGAAGTAAAAGTATTTGTAGCACCTCTGTAAAAATTTCCCCGATGTAGTGAATATCGCTTTGATAATCACTTCAGATTCAGTTGTTTAGTGTTTTAACACACCATTTATTGCATTTTTTTCTTTGGAAAGAACAAACAAACTAACAAACAAACCAGAACAGCACTTTGAAGTTGGATTTTTTTAAACAGGGGCAAAAATTAGAAGATAATAATACAGAAATTCTGAGAGTTCTCACTCACCTGTGGCTCTTCTGTGTCGTGAGGTCTTCCCACTTTGTTAGGATGTTCCACGAGGTGTTTGCTTTCTTTAGCTCCTGTGTCACCACATGCAGTTACTTCTAACTCACTCTCTGCATTCTTTTTGCTGTTGATTTTGTGTTTTTTTTTTCAATCTTGGTAGGCAGATAATGCATAATATTGACTGTATGTCTTTCGGTTGATTTGTCAGTCGTTCAGAAGTTTTTTACAGCTGACTGCTGTGTCTTTAGTAAAGAAGCAGTGATGATGCTGTGGTTGTTGTACTGGATGTTGTGTTGAGGGACGTGGTTTAGTGGGAGCTTTTGGTAATAGGTGAATAGGTTGGACTGGATGATCTTTAAAGTCTTTTCCAACCTTGGTGATTCTATGATTCTATGATAAATGTGAGAAAGATTTCTTGGATCATCTGGGTTAAACCCATAGTTGAAGAGATATCATCCACTGCACCATGCTTGTATCAGTCTCCTTTGTACATCTCTTACTGGTAATGAATACGAAAATTCAGCCACCTCTGTAGACATTTCAGTGCTTTATTTACCTGAATGCTAAGCAAACACTTTGTACCTGAAGGAAAAACATGGTCTCAGTTAATTCCACAAAGCTGTCTAGTGAACGGCTTTCTAACGTTTGCCCCAAGTTCCTCCTCACCATAAATTGTAAATTGAGAGGATTATTGCTGTGTGCTGTCAGCATTGGGAAAAAAAAAAAACACAACAAGTTTCTACTTGGTTTGTCATTGCTTTTAACAAATAGTGACTTTCAAAGACTGCCTTCGGTGTTAGTTATTCCCACTAGGATTCCTGTTATGACTGTGATTGAAATACATATTTAAATTGAAACAGGATTTACTTGCTTTAGTTTCCAAACCTAGTCTTGAAAACACACTCATATGTAAAGGGCTGCTAAACTTCAGTGCCTATGCCAACCACCTGAAATTGTGTTTAGTCATTGCCCATCTGGAGGAGGGGGAGATGCTGGGAGGAAATGGGTTCCGCGTGGACCCTGTGTGCCTTGGACTGTGTGGGACCTCGTGCCTTCTTACGAACAGGTGGGAAGCAGGTTGGCAAAGCTGAGATAGGAGTCAAGTGGTGGTTTCATATCATTTCTTCTTCTAAGAGGCAAAGCAGCATCCAGACAAGACAGGAAAGAACTTAGTCCTGTTTTCAGAAGGTAGAAAATATACTCGGAATTAGTTCTTTCTCTTTTAAAAACACACTTTCAGTAAGATTCTGAAGTGAAATTCTGTTCTGGTTTACTATAAACCATTTTTAAAACTGGAAAAAAAAAACCGTTTCCAGAGTCTCATTTGCTGCCAGCAGTGCATACATGACATAGCTTCTTAGAAGGGTCCTTCTTGTACGTCCTCCATAGGAGCAACATAAGTGTTTTGTTAAAAAATATAGCTGGTAGTTTTTATGTGGCAACCTTTTCAGCCAGTTTTCAAGTTGTGTTGTTGCTGCCTGTC